TCGCGCTCAACATAAATTACCGCCGCTAATGATGAATGTCAGGTATAAACGTAATATTATGCAACTGTGCGGCTGTGTACGAGTGTCGTGTTCGGGGTTGCCTTCACCCTCACGTTGCCAAGTAGAGCCGGGTCGTTAGAAGCGTGCAGTCAGCCATACGTGACAGTGCATACGTATACGCACATATACTCGTCGCAAAATCAACGTCACGTTTCTATACAATGATTACAATCCGTCGACACGCGTGGCGGTAATATAGCTACGATTCGACATTACTTTCAACCGTGGTGATCACGAATCATTGATCAAAAATCAGCGAACCGTGCAATGATTACCGTACAATGATTTTAATAAGTGCTTCTATTTTAAGCTCATCTACGTCATTCATTCGTTACATGATGTACTGCTATGCGATTTTGAAGCGTAAGCAAATGTAAATGGAGATGGAAATGTAAATGGAGATTTGACATTATGAATGACATAAATGAATTAATTAGTTTTTTGGTAGATAACAGTTTCTTAACTATTATTATGGCTTCATAAAAATGAAATGTTATTTAAAATTTTATACATACCGTTTTAGTTTCGTGATCAAATTTAGAATTTCCAACTACATTATATTTTAATATAATTTAATATAAATTTGCTTCGTAGAATAATTAATACAATCACGATGTTTTGATTTGGCGAAGATAAGGGAACTAGTGACGAAAAATTTGTGTAAGGTGCAAATATCGTAGATATTTTGATGTCTAATTTTATTCAGTGTGCTCTGATAGTGGACAAACTAGCGGACAGAAGCTTCAATGTCTTCGTGCACATTTAAAAATCGAATAACAAGTCCAAGCACAGTCGATATAATGAGTTAGTTAATTCATTTAGCACTTGCCGCTTTTATTTAGCCAGCCGGAGAATCTTGCAGCCTCTGTATTTTCACAGTCTACTCGGAAATCCAGACTTCTCTCCTATCTCCTCTTCTTCTTCCGTAAGCGTCCGGGTTCGTACACGACCCGCATACAGTTCTTGTCTTTGCGAGGTGCCTTTACTCGATCCCGTCTCCTCGGTACATCGGCCAAAGGAATCCCCGGGTCTCCTCCTCAAAAGTAGAAACGCTGGGTGAGAAAGGTTGGTTGCAATCAAGCGCGGGCGCGGACTTCGAGGATGCTCCGTCCCGTTTTCTCACGGTCTGCATTATCTTCCCAGACTCCCGTCACGACTCGAATTCTATTCTACCCCCTACCCTCTTCTTCTCCAGTTGAAGAAATCGGGGGATGATTTAACAACGAAAGCGGAAGGGATGTCTCTTCTTTCTCTTTCTCTTTTTCTTTCTCTATCTCTACTCGCGTCTTTCCTTCATCCCTTCTCATTCGGTCTTAGCGAAATCGCCATCGATCGTCGTTGAAAAAGGAGTTAAGCTTATTCGGTGGACGCTGCAGGATTCGCCTTTGCGATCGTTCCTAGTTACATTAGATTTGACGAGGATGTGATCTAAAAGCTCGTTCGAGCGGATAGTCAAACTACTAAAATTCGATTCGACATTTGTTCGAATGGATTGCTTTATCAAAGAATGAATAGTATGGAAGTTTCGTAAATTATTGAAATACTGAATTATGTAATATTGTAATGTATTGTATATATTTGAAAATTGTTTCATCAACGGAAATACAAATATACATGGAATGTAGTGATAGTGCGTAGCCTGTAGATCTAACATTAAGTAGCCACGCAATTTAATTCCGGCACATTTGTGTTATAAGAAGTGACGGTACTTGAAATACTATTAGTTCTGTACTGTAACAATGGAGATGCTTCGCCACGTTGTATTCGTCAGTCACGTTGAATGACTGTTCCTCCGATTTCGAGTGACAACAGCACTTGAAATCTAAGTTTGCTTTACGTCTTGCTGATGTCTTAAAGCTCTCATTAGTTAGCTCGTCGTCTTCGACGAGCCCAACGACGGGTCTGGGGAAGAATTAGCGATGTCAATATTTGCGGTGCAATCAACTCGCTTCGACTTCCCGTCCTCGTCGTCGATTTGCCCCTCCTCCCTCTCTACTTCCCCTTTATCCTAGCTTCGACACCGATGCTGATTGTCATCCACACTTCCAGGCTACTCGCTTGCGCTGTTGCTGTTGTCTTTTCTCATTTCGCTGGCTCGTTTACCTGATCTGTACATAGCGTCACCGATAGCAACGAACACCGACGCCAGGTATCTGTTTTAGCCAAAGCAAATTTGAGGAACATGCTCTTTTGCGGAACAAATATACGAAAACGTTTATTTGGCCTTCCGATTGTCTTTATCGTTCTCAATTTATTAAATAGCTAGTAGCATTATTGTCGCGTAGATAGTTTTTTTTATATTTCTAACCACGTTATCTAGCAAACTACAATGATATGTGACAAAGAATCCGCGCAAGGACCATTTGTACTTCTTACGTTTGACAAGTCTCTGCAATTTGTCGGCCTTAAGAATGATCGAGCGTCTCGAAACGGATCGTGATGCCTGAGATGGCCGGCGGCGGTGAATCGCGACGATGAAACGATTGCGGTCGAATGTGTGGACGAAGAAGAGAAATGTTGAAATTAAAGTTTTCGCAAGTTATTTGAACGCTATCTGTGGCGCGTGTGGTATGAATCGAATGTCATTTGTTGGACTTAAACGAGTGGGCGGCGGCGAGATATAAAGAAGGTGGATGGCTCGGAAGAGAGCGGAGAAGAGGGGTTATAATGCAAACCCTTTCCCAGAAGGAACAGCGAGGACATCGAATGGGAGAAGGACCACATCGATGGAAAAGAGCACGTCAGCGTCGCAAATTGAAAGTCCGCATCCAGGGACCTACTATTTTCTCGTCTCTCTCGTACAAATCTTTGTTCGCGGCTGAGTCGTTGTAATCTTTAGAAATCAAGGATGCCGTCGACAGTCACCATAGCCATCGTAGTTATCGAAAGTAGGTAACAATCATTGACGAACTGATTACTCGAACTTTGTAAAAGTTCATAAATTCTTCTATAAATTGCAATTTTTATATTGTAGCTTGCAAAATTGTTCGTTTAATTGCGCATTTATGAAATAATTAACGCTATTACATCGCGCTATTTCTCTTGATTACTTTTTCTCGACAAGAATAATAGCCAAGAATAATGGACGAGATTCTACGACGAGGTAAATAAGACAAGGTCCCGCGATTGTCGCACGATCTTTGTTCCCAACTAGTCCTATTCGCCTCGACGGCATTTTCCTTTGACCTCTCGCTTTCCTCTTCGCTTTGCTTCCGTTTTCAGCTTTCCTCCCTTCTCTTTTCCACCTTTCCCGCTACTTCTCCCTCTTCCTCTTTATCTCTCTCTTTCTCACCTTTACCCTTACCTAGTGGCGTGACACATGGCCAGCATTTATAGCGCGAGATAGCGCCGGCGGTTCTCGACAGCGCCGGCAGATTTATCCTCCACGGTTATTGGAGTTATACAAAGGATTTTTCCAACTGATCCCATAAAGTATCTGTGCCTGATGCCCTATTATTTACGCAGCCGGCAATGGCTGATGTCGCGGAAGCTTTTCGCTCTTCCTAGTTTTTACGCCGGAATGCGAGCATCGTCATGAGCTTGTCGCAGATGCTATTTTACGCTTCGTCGTTTTCGATTTATCGTAAAAACGATACTCTCCGATATCGCCTTTTCATCGAGTGAATTATTGTTGTCGTTGGGCATCGACGGCATAGAGTATGTAAAATTTTTTTTTCCCAAAGAGACAATCTAGTAGATTCATAATTTGAATGAAAATATTTAACCTTATTTGTTATACTTGAAACGACAGAATTACTACTAACAGCGAAAAGAATTATTTTTTTCAAGCGCTTGTTAAAAGCTTTTGTGGCAGCTATTCTAAAGTCTATCATTCTTATCACGCGTGTTTTCAAACGCAAATACTTGCATTGTCTGTGAACTGTACGCGTTACATCGGCCCATGTTGTAGTGTTTATTCCTATGCTCGCTCGTTCGTTCATTCGTTCATTCGTTCGTTCGTTCGTTCACTCGTTCGTTCGTTCGTTCATCCATTTGTTTGCTAGCGACGAGTTCGTACTGCGTTGTTCGGCATTAATGGATGGCCCCTGTTTCCGTACGTTTTATCGCCAACTGAAGCTCATAGGTATCGTTCGAATCGTAACCGCCGGAGCCAAAACTGGCCGAAGCATTGATCCAGTTCTGTAGAGAATCCAGGTGAATAGTACGGTTCCACTCGTTATCTACGGTGATCCTGTCTTTGAATTCTTTTCGGTTAAAAACGACTTACAAATCCTGAAAAGATTAACGATTCTGGTGGAACAGAGGGAAACGATAGATTATCGGAATGCGCATAGTATTGGACATACGTGCGTTATGTGTTTGACATATAACATACGTGGAAAAAAATATGCAAATTCAAGTATCATATTAGACCGCGATGTGAACAACACAATCATTAAAAAATAAAGGTCAAGCTGGATCTATAGTGTTGGAACAATTTCATGTGTATTTATATATCATAAATCCTGCAAACTGCCTCGAATTTATTTTTAGTGTTAAAACGCAATCCTAACAGAACTAGAATAATAATATTACAAATTTAATTAATTGACAATTTAATATTATTGATGCTCATAAGCATTTTTATAATAATCTTTAAACATTTTGAAATCCGTAACTAATTTTATTGCGAAAAATATTACCTCTCGGAAAAAGATACATATATTAAATAACTAAACTATTTTGAAAACTAAAGTATTTTAAATGAATAAATAAAAATTAATAATTTTTTAATTTAACAATGCAAACAAGTAAAAAGGATTTTTTTAAATTTATTTGTTAATACTTATAATCTCATTGAAGTGATTAATTAAATTCTGCATTGTGTTACACGAATATCTATTTTATTTTTATCGGAATTTTAGCATGTTTTATTTTCATGTATTCTAATTATTGGAAAATGGAATATACGTGACAGAAGAATATTTTCTTGGTTGCAGGACTCCGAAGGTGACACACCTCTTCACGATGCGATCTCTAAGAAACGGGATGACATGTTGGCTCTGTTGTTGGACCACGCCGCAGACATCACCCTCACCAACAACAATGGCTTCAACGCTCTTCACCATGCTGCTCTTCGTGGCAACCCAAGGTGAGTGCTTCGCGTTTTCAGATGTGACGCTTTTGTCCGCGACGCTGAATGCGCCGTTCTAGAATTTAACCGTCAGGTAGCGAGATTCGCGGTGAAGAGAAACACCAATAAACAGCTTGCGCCGGATAACAATTACGCGCGTCTCGTTTCGTAGACTTAATGGATCACCATGTATTTTGAGTATTTGAATGGTTGCGAGAGAAATATCTCGTCAATCTTATGCACGTTATTATGATTTATTATTATGTTTGCGCGTTGATTAATATTTCACTTATACGCGCACGTTTGTGACTGGAAACTTTAATTAATATGATAGAGAGGTACAAGTCTTTTTGTCTGAAACACGAGCGTTTAAGCTAAACGTTGGTCGCGAACAATGGGTTTTCTGGATACGAAGCTTTTTTCATAAGAAGTTACGAGTGAGATTTTCCAACGGCATGTCCAATCGGTCCGTTCTTTTTTCCGCTTTCTTTGTTCTCTTGTTCGACGAATCATAAAAGAACGTCGAACCACAGATGTTCCCGAAGCTGTCGTCGTCGACGATGTTCCTGTCATCGTCTCGACGAAGTCTAATCGATCCGGTCATTCTCGAGAGGTAGCGAGTCAATTTTACCTCGATTCTCGCCTCTCGTCCTCCCGTTCAATTTAGCCACGCGGACTCTCGGAGCTTTTCGAGATTTGCCCACTTCTAGTTATTACTTCTCGACGCAAAGACGGAATAACGAGAATGAGACGAGCGGATATTCCAATAGGAGCGATATCTAGTTTGAAACTACATTACTTGGTTGAAATAACATTATTTTGTAACGACGATTCTATTTGCTTATCTATTCGAAATACGTCATCATTTAAAAAAGAGAAAAAGAATAGTAAAAATTAGAGTTTCTTACAATTTAAAAGAAAAATTAAAATAACAAATTTATGCCTTTTTGAGGAGGGGAAACATGAGATGTTGATGTGAAGATAATTTATTTAGTTACTTAACATCTTGGCCGTATATTTCGATCCAAGCTTTGGATTCTTTTTAATGTCAATACAATGATATGATGTTAATCAAATGTATCGTTCCAACGAAATCATTACACTTCTCGGTGTGATAAGTCAGTGTCTCGCGCCATGTTTAGCGTTGAGATACTACCAGTGTCTCCAGATGATCTTTGTTAAAACGCACAAATGTTCAGATAATTCTTACGTTGGGTAGTTAGCATCTCATATTTATGCGCTTTAATGATCATTAGGTATACTGGGAAGTGTAATAATTTCGTTGGAACGATACATTTGATTGACACCATATATCATTGATTGACACCGAAAAGGATTCGAAGCTTGGATAGAAATGGCCAAGAGACAAGATGTTAAGTAACTGAATAAATTATCTTTCACCAACATTCTGTATTTAACTCAAAAAGGCATAAATCTATTGTTTTGATTTATCTCAATTGAGATTTGATTTTTTATTATTTTATTTTATTTTATTTTGTTAAAAGAAAAAATATGTGGCTCTATTTTGTGGCGATCTTTTTTTTATCGTTTGCCATATTTTTTTTTTGTTTTCACTCGAGAATACGGGTCAACAAATTTGAAAACTTTCCATACGGTATTGTCTTACTCCTGTATATTTTTTTGTATTTTTTTCTTTGTCTCGTTTCGTCTGTCTTTCTTTATGTCTTTCTGTTCGCATGAGAGATTTGTTTCAATATTTCGCGTCTACTTTTAAATCCAGAAAATGGCGATACCGAATGCATTTAGAGTCCTACAGTCATAATTATGACTATTATGAGAGATTTACTTTCAACTCCTCGGATCGTCTGAATGTCAGTGATTCGTAGTCGCTTACGACTTTCGCTTTACGACGTTATCGCTGAAATAACATGAAAATTTTCACTATACAACGAGAAAGAGACGATATCTGGATTCGCAGATTATTTGTCTAGATTATTTCTTAATTCTTAAGTATGTTAGCAGTACCTTGAAATGAAATATTAGAACAATTTAATTCTTTCACAATAAAGAAAGATTTCGAAATCTGATGTCCAGAAAATTAATCAATGAACAAAAATCTCATGAATATTCGAGATTCTAATATACATATATTAGAGCAACAAATTAATTATTATCTTATTATTATATGAAACGAAACTGCAATTTTTATTACAATATATAGTTGTATTACTTTAATGCTCATTTTATTTTTATTTACGTAAAAAAATCTCTTTTTTGCGGCTTTTTTGCGCGATAAATTCTTTCAATCGTATTGTCATGTTCTAATTGGCAACAAGGAAGAATAAAATATCGTGGAACAAATTTCTCTGATAAATCACCTCGCATTTCACGCTTCTGTTGTCGCATCAGTGTACATAAGACAGCGTGTATTGGTACGCGAACATTTATCTTTGTTCCGTTGCTACCAGCTGGAAAAACAGCGAGAAGGGTGACTAAATAGGGTCATGTGAAAAATTTTCGATTATATAAAGAAGAGACAGATGAAGAATTAGATCGATAGCTTCTGATATTGCTTTGATCGAATGTCTCGGTTCAATTTACCATCATAATCCGGGACTTACATTATGAGGAATTAGCGAAAACTCATAGTAGTATTGCTGTCTCTATTCCCATTGCTCAGAGCGAACGATAAGGTTAATCGTCCGAAGAGTATCGACGTCAAGAAACGTCAACTTTGCCGCCAACCTCTCCATAGCTGAGGTAATTATAGCGACTATCTTACGTTAGGAAAGACGCTCGAGGGTGACTCGAAACTAATTCAGACTAGGATAGTTTGCGGTAAATGAGTACTCGAAACCGATGAGGTTTACTTTGCTTGTCATTATATAGACCGAAGAGCGAACGTTTCGCAGTGCGGTGCCTTCAAGTAGGCACCGCAATCACAGAAACGTATTAGCGCCGAGATAGGCGGAATGTACTCGGAGCTGTACAATCAAGGATCGTTTGCTCTTCACGAAGAAATAGCGATCTCTGTTTCAGTAAAACGAGATAAACGTTATAGTATTCGCGCGTGTTCGATACAAGTGTTATACGGGTCAGTCGTTGTAAGGGTATAGCGTTTCATACGTGATTGCTCGGCCCGAATGTAAGTAAAGCGTCAGCAAGTACGTGTCCGTGTTCGTTACACCGGTTGCATTCCCAAAGTACACTTAGATAAAGACGAATGTCAGGTATATTCACTGCAACCAATTCCGCTTTCCTTCTTCTTCGTGTCCCAGTATTCTTCCGTAGTCTTGCTCCTGGTCATGGACGGGTCGCGGCCTTCCTTACGGTTCTCTCTCTTTCTCTCTCTCTCTCTCTCTCTTTGCCGCCCTTTCCTGACTCCTGCTCGTGCCCTGTTGGCCTTTTCTCGCCTTTGCACTCGCCCTCTAAAGGAGCCGCCGGTTTCTCTCAAGATCCGTGCCATAGCGCTCTGAAGCCGAACGAACGGATGTCCGGAGACGTAATTTCCTGCTCTCCTCTGGTGCGGCCTCCCCCCATTACCCTTCTCTCTCTTGCCACGTCTGCTGCTTTGTAAGGTACATTCTCCGAGGGTTGTCGACGAAACTTCTCTCGTTTTCCATGCTTCTGCCCACAGTTTCTATATGTTTCAAATTAGGATCGACCAACCAAACATGATTGTGAATATTCGCAAAGATACATTTACAAAGCCTTAAATTTGCAATTATTACAAATTAATCATGTGTTAAGCATTTGGTAACAGAAAGTGGTGATGTGTTATTTTTACGACGATAATGATTCATGCAACATTCTAATTAAGAAAATCCTTGCATTCTTACACTATTTCTATTTAGGGAAAAATTCGATTAAAATTTTTATTAATTATTATTCAAAACACATTTTCCGTGTAACTTCATTATTATTATTATTATACTAAATTGTCAATTATATTGTATTTATGTTTATTATTACTAAATCCATTGTCATTGCTAAACCTTTTCAAAGGATTATTGCCACAACATAATAAATTTCCACTCTACTCTGTGGAAGCGTAGCATAGCATAGCAACGTGAAGTTACTGTATAATAAATAGTGCATCAGCATTGCATTATCGACGATGAGTATTCTATGAGCCATAATATTTTTATGGCTATCGAAATGGTGAACCCGATTGCAATCAATAATGCTTTACCATTGTAAAAGTTGAGTACGGTCAAAGCATCGGTCAATACGTGGGTGTTACAGTGGAAGAGCACTAAAATTGGTCGGTTATGATGTCCCTTTGTTATTGCTGGTTCGCAATACCCTGTTGTTCAACCGTGATGGTCTAATCATTATGCTCGCGGACAGAGATACAAACATGCGTCATATACTAAATTCTACCACATGAATCGCCGCCTTTGGCATTCAAATATTACAGTGTCATCTCTCGTGTCGACCTCTGTTTAACGTAAATCACGAAATTGATATTTAAATTGTCATTCTTTGTGATTATTGCAAAAAAAACAGCCTGGCCTAGATAACCGCTTTGAAACTATACATACATATGTACGTGCACGTGATACGATGCACGCTACTAGAAATTTTTAATTCTGATAATGATATTTCTCATTGACTTAGTGCATATATTTTTTTTAATTATAACTTCGTTAATTACAGGTTTTTTTTTAATGCAATCGTTACATTTCGCGATATCGTATTCTGTATTCGTATTTTTCATCACCGATGTATGAGATCGTGATAGCTACGACAAAGTTATAACGCTAATTTGGCTTGGCTCTGATGTCTCGCACGGCTTGATTATGTTAGTCACACACGCGGCACTCGGTGCCGTTGATCCAGCAACGTACACACATCGCGTGCCCATGAGCCGCTTTGATCTTCCCTCGTGAAGCCGTATTCTGATTGTGTCACGCCGAGTCAGAATAGCGCAAGATCCCTGCTCCGGCAGTCAATTCCGCTTGTTTTGTACTATTTCGTCAGGACGGTGGTCACGTATATTCTGCTTTGTCGGGACGAGAGTCCGGCGGTGGGTCGTGATTAAAATTTTGTTACCA